CACAGAGTAACTTTTAAATATATTTATTGTAAGAATGCAAGTGAGAGGCAACTAATGGGGTTTTGATGTAACTATCAGGGATAAAACAAGCCATCAAAACTATTACATAGGATTGTCTTGATCATACGTAAGCCAAAAGGAAGCTGAATCAATCTCTGACATAGAAGACAAAAAGCGTCCCATGCTTCTCTTATCACCCTCTGCACAAGCTGCTCTGTCGTTGAGACTTAAATTTTAATAAAAACCTTCCTGGTCATCTTTTAAAATTCAAGACTGGGGTACAGTCCAGCTTTCAGTTAAAAGCACTCACAATTTCTTTTTTCTAAAAAAAGTTCTCACCAATAAAGACTATTAATAATGCTTGGTGTTACATCATCCTACTTTTTTCTTTAATGCAACAAACAACAACAACAACAAAACACCACTTGCTTAAAAGAAGAAACCTTAAGAAACAATAACAAAAAAAGGATTTTAAAGTTTTAATTCACCAGAATTCACTATTAAAAATTATAATACTGTCTTTCTGGTTTTTTCTATCACATATTTCTTACTTTTATAATCAGAAGGAAAATATTTCAAGTAAAGTTTTCACCAAAGTAAAAACTGAAAATTTCTGTCCCTGCACCATCTTCTGTGACAAAAGAATACTGGTGGCCTTGTCTTGGTTCTGCTCATCTGACCTTGGGTGAGAAAGTTAACCTCTCTGGGTAGCCTATCAGAGGTGGAAGCAGACTATCTCAAGTACAAAGGGTCTTTCCTCTTTACTTGGACAGTCTAAGATTATGAGACATGAGTTTTCAAAACTTGCCATAGGCCATTCTAAACTGATGACTGCCTGATTTTTAATCTCTCTGAATTCCCACACAAAAATAGAGAACCTATACATCAAAGATAAACCTCTGAACAATGACACAGAAGCAGGTAGGGACAAACCAATAGCATCCACAAGACCTGAATGGTGTCTGTGTGGGCAGAAGCAGAGAAGAAACAACACCCCTGGACTTGAGAACTGGAAACCCCCCCAAATAACCAGTAATTATGAGGGTGAAAGAGGACAGTAAAAAAGGTGGCTTGAAACTCAGCATTAGAAAAACTAAGATTATGGAACATGGTCCCATCACTTCATGGCAAACAGATGGGGAGAAAGTGGAAGCAGTGACAAGTTTTATTTTCTTGGGCTCCAAAATCACTGTGGGCAGTGACTGCAGCCATGAAATTTAAAGACACTTGTTCCTTAGAAGAAAAGCTATGACAAACCTAGACAGTGTATTAAAAAGCAGAGACATCACTTTGCTGACAAACGTCCATATAGTCAAAGCTATGGCTTTTCCAGTAGCCATGTATGGATGTGAGAGTTGGACCATAAACAAAGCCGAGCACTGAAGAATTGATGTTTTTGAATTGTGGTGCTGCAGAAGACTCTTGAGAGTTCCTTGGACTGCAAGGGGATCAAATTAGTCAATCCTAAAGTAAATCAACACTGAATACTCATTAAGGACTGATGCTGAAGCTCCAATACTTGGGCCATCTGATGAGAAGAGCCGACTCATTGGAAAACACCCTGATGCTGGTAAAGATTGAAGGCAAAAGAGAAGGGGCGACAGAATGGGACGGTTGGATGGCATCGCTGACTCAATGGACATGAATCTGAACAAACTCCAGGAGATAGTGGAGGACAGGGACGCAAGGTGTGCTGCAGTCCATTGCAAAGAGTTAGACATGACTTAGCAACTGAACAACAACAGATGTACCAGAAGGTGAGGGGGGGCCAGATGGGAGGGGTTTTTCCTGAGCCAAGAGGGAGCGGGCAAGGGGCCCACAGAAGATCCGAAGGGCCGAAAGCACTATTCCCCATGAACTTTCCAGACCGGCCCCAGGACTCCCTACCAGGAGGAGAAATGGGTGGGAGTAGGATCAAAATGGAACAGGATGGCATGATAGAGAAAAAGGAAAGGACAGAACTAGAAAGAAGCAGGAGGGGGATAGAATTAGGCAGAGTGACCTGTGAAGATGAGGAAACAGAGGGCTAAGCCCTACAAACTTAAAAAGGCCATTTTCAACTCTGCCTCTTAAAAGTTAATAAAAAGCTATTTTTCACATAAAAATGAAAAACAGAACAGTACTGAGAGCAAATTCCACATCAAGTTATTAGAAAGAAAAAGAAGGAAAAAAAAAAGAGCAGAATAACATCTCTATAAACCATGAAAGCAAGCCACAAAATTGAGAACCTCTCCCATCACTAAAAGTCTCAAACAACAGACTATTATTATCTCAAAATTAGCCAAAAGACTTCAAAAAGATGAAATGACATAAAACATGGAAGAATGTATTTCAAAGTTAGAAAAACTCAGAAAGAAGGTAATAAAGTACACACAAGAAATAAAATAAAAATGCAGGAAAAAAAAGCCAGGAGGGAATAAATACAACATACAAGGCCTAAGAAAAACAGAAGATGGAGATACAGAGAATTTGAGACAGTGCCAGATATTGAACACAGGCACAGAAGATCTAAGATATAAATGGTAAACATCGTTGAAGAAAAAAAAGGCAAGAGAACAAAGTATTCAATATTATAATAAAAAAAAAGTCTCTGAAATTAAAAAAAGATTACAAAATATAAGCAAAAGAAAACACAGAAAATGTGATAATACCAAACCAGAATGACTAAAAATAAGAGTTACTCTAGTAAAATTAATAGAAGGGAGGGAGGAAGGAAGGGAGGGAAGAAGGGAAACGAAAAGAAAAAGAGAGAAAGAAAGAGAAAGAAATGCTATGCACGTCTATGGTAAGTAAGCGTCTTGTGAGGGAAACAGGTGAATTACTGGGAAACTTTGAGAGCAACGCTCTGTGTCAAAATAGAGCAAAGAAACATACTCAGGAAAAAAAAAAGAAACATACTCAGGTAAAGAAGAGATGAGTCCAGGGTTTTATATCCAGGAGGAATGCCTTTCAACTATAAAGGGCAGAGATAAATCATTATTAAAAAGCAAGAAGCTGGTGAAGATTATTCCTGTGAGTCCTCCCTGAGGAACTCTACTAGAAAGCAAGCTTCAGGCATTAAACAAACAGAAGGATGTTGACATTAAGACCATCGTAAACATTAAATATATAATTTACTTGTAGAAGACTAAATGAGGACTAAGAGGAGAAAACGTGAAAGATGTGACCAGCGTATGGTCAGAAGGTGTAGATATAGTACAACTGCAAAACCTGCAGGAGTGATGAAAGCATAATGCAAAAAACTTTTCAGTAACTCTATTTGTTATGGTAATATGATTATTATTATTTTGAGACTGATTGTATATAATACAGAATAAAGCAAACCAGTAATTACGGAATATTCTTATCCAATCATCCTCTGTAAACATAAAAACTAGGATTATTTTTTGTTTATGTATTTTTTGGCTGCACCACAGTGGACGGGATCTTAGATTCCCAACCACCATGCCCCCTATAGTGGGAGCGCAGAGTCTTAACCACTGGACCACCAAGGGAGTCTCTCAAACTAACATTTTGAGTGTGAAAGAAAGGAGATACAGATAAAGTATGGAATCCAAGTAGAAGAACCCTGTAGTTTGAATTTAAATTGGAGAGATTAATATGAGCACCTAAGGTATTTTATCTTAAAATTTACAAATACTTACATATATAGATAAATAAATAATTCCCTGACTATGTTTATAAAAGAAGCCTAAAAACAATGACCAGCCTGGAAGCAGTAAGCACCCTTAGCACCCAGACTGCAGTCTTGAAATACCATTTTCCACAAAGAAAAACCAGGTCTATTTGCAGAATGCTTAATTCCAGGTCTGGGGGGAGAAATGTAATCCTAGTAATTCCCAGGTTTTTTAGAAATTACTAGAATTACTAGAAATTACAGAATTACTAGAAATGTAATTCCTAGTAATCCTGGAATCATTACTAGGCTAGTGTCAAAAGATTCAGGAGCCATGTGAAGAGGTTCTTACTGGCCAAGGAGTAAACTTTGAGTTTCTACAAGGAAAATAATTACAAAGGACTGACCCAAATATGCTTAAACCTATAAGTTCATATTTTTTTACAAATAATTGGGCACTTTCAGATCATAGGTCATCAATTCATTATCTTGAAAAATGTTAAATGAAAAGAATGAAGCATTGATTCTACTTTTCCTTTATGAACTACACCATTGTTTGAATAAATCATAGATGATGGGAAATGTCTCTATAAAAGTATTCCAATTAATAACTGATAAAGAAATGGCAGAAATAAAATACTATGATATTTTGTAAAGTCCTGATGCACCAGTGAACTTTGGCACTGAGTGTCAATATAGCCGCTAACATCTCTAAAGGCAAAATAACCAGATATTGGGTTGGCCAGAAAGTTTGTTTGGGGTTTTGAAAAACCCGAACAGACTTTTTGGCCAACCTACTACGATGTGCTTCCCAGCGGAAAAACAAATGTCTTTTATAGTCTCGCCAAAAGAACCGACCATGAATCCGACTGAGTCTCTGGGATCCAAGGCCATTTTGCAGGAAATAAAGAGGGCAGAGGAACACAGCGAACTGTGCCATGGGTGAGCAATCAGCACCATCTGGACTGTGGGAAACTCCGTAGGTCAGACACTTTTAACAGATTAAGTGTAAAGCCAATAAAGAATGCAGGGAAAACCTGTGGACTGAGAAATTCAAAGTAAACATGTAGTTTTCAAATGGGCAAGACAAAACTGGACTGTCTGGGGACATACAAGCTCCTGCGACAGCTGTTAAGAAGCAGCAAACACGACTGTAAACGTCATGGTAGTGGTCACCTTGGGGGCAGGGAAAGCGAACTGGGATGAGGCAGAAGGACGGACTCCTGGGAAGACCGCAGGTTTTAATTTTTCACCTGGACAGTGGTTACGAGGATGTTCGATCATTAAGCAATATTTGTATTGTGGGGATTTCTGTATCTGTTTTATCTTAAACAATAAAAAAACAAAAAGCAAAAAACTAAGAGACCCTTTCTAGACTCCTCACCTGCGCCTTGGCCAGCTTCTTTTCCAGAAGGTCCCGTTCCCGCTCTGTTTGCTGCAGACGTTTGTTAAGCTCCACTATATCTCCCTTGAGCGATGCCAGGGCTGCCAAGTGGAGCTGCAGTGACAGAAGGAAAGGAGCACAAGGTTAGATCCTTCAGCAGAAACTCACTTCCGTCCCTTCCTTCCCTGTAATTATTGTGATCACAGAGAAAAGGGGTCATCTGCAGCCAGACACCTTGGGTGACATTAATCTCAGAGGACAATGGACAGAAATCAGGAGTCCTGTCACCAAGCTGGGTTATCTGGTCATCCTGAATGTACCAGGGAGAACCCTGTTAAGTGTGGGCAGCAGGACCTAATTTGGGATGGTCTAATTAAACAGAGAGCAAAGCTGCTCATCCTACGGGCTTTCTCTGAATTACTCAGCAAGGACCAGATTAAGCGCTGGTGTGGACTGCCTGATTCTCAAGACGCAAGGCAAAGGCAGGATCAAATTAACTTTTACCTTTGGGAAAATATGCAAGTTGAATGGAGCAATTCAATTTTTTTTTCAAATTCAACCACAGATATTGCCATGTATCCAGACAGCCCAAGGGGCTGAGTAGTAAGAAAAAAATTCGAGAGCTCATTGTTTTCGAGGCTTTCCTCCTCAGGTTGACCCATTAACTTTCTGACCAGCTCCTCCTTCCTCATTGCCCCCCAGACAGTTGAGAAGACTAGATGATGCTTCTGGCCTCTCAGAGCACAACCAGAGCTCTGATAAATCATGTTACGGCAAGAGAACCTGAGAATCCCTTGCTGTTCCTTTTTTTCCCAGACGACCCTCTCAGAACAAGCAGAGTGAGAAAGAACGTTCCTCAGCAGATGAGCGAGTGCACCATGCACTTCCAGGATCTCAACCTGCTCAGCATTCAGGCTCTGCCCACTGAGCGTGGGATGCACACACGCTCATCCACACGTGCCCGCTGCGCAGTGCAGGCGGACGCCTGGGCTCGTCTTTAACATCTGTTCAACCACGCTCCTGAGCAACACCTTCCCGCCGCCCCTGCCCCGAGTCACTACTTCTCTGCCTTCACTGTCGCTCCTGCGTGGAGCTCAATCGATGTAACGCTTGGGTAAGTGAGGACAATCAGAGCAAACACTCCCTCTTTATAGGAATTGTGTAGGTTCTGCCAGGAGGCTCTAAAGTACGGAGTGACCTTACAAGATGGACAGTGCAGCGGTATACAACTCCACTTCAAAGATCTTAACTTCAGGTTTAGAAAGAGGCTTTTTTCTGCAGCCTGTCTCTCTACACTATGTGGTGGCTTGGGAGGCTTGGGGGAGAGTGCATAGCTGAGAAGGAGATGTAGGGCAGAGCTAGGTTTTCATAGCAGTTGTTTGTGAGACGACCACAACAGTGAGTGCGACTTCACTTAATTGCATGGGGGCTGCAAACCAACAGATCAATAACAGAGCTGAAATCAAGAATCCTTGAAATTTAAAAAAGGAAATGTCAGGCCATCTGGCGGTTATTTGTCTTCTCATGTGGGGCTAAGGCTGCTCAGAAAAGGTCACTTTAGGTTTCAGATACAGGGTTTGTGTGATGAATTCTCAGCACAGATAACACAGTGTTCCCATTGTATAATTTTGGGGAGGCAGTTTGGCTCCCAGTGTGGGGAGAGGGAGGCAAATTCACTCCCTTGCCTAGCTGGGTTCCCCCTTCTGCCTTTGAACTGTCAATCTGAGAATGCTCCTTCTGCGACAGACACTGTGGTCTGTTACGCAATTATGTCCTGTCTTGGGAGAAGACTCACCCTTGACAAGAAGGATGAAATACATGAAGAGCTCATGTGTTCCTTAAGAGATAAGGGAGTGGAAACAAGAATCCCAACTATGTGAGCCTAGACAGACCTCCCCTCTTGTCTATCTCCCCTCTTACTTCTGGGCCAAAGGGCTGCCCACAGGAATTGTGGGGGAGATTCAGGGGGGAAAAGCTGACAGAGGAGACTGTATAGGCCGCAGAGACCTTATGAACTGGGCCCAGATGGGGAGACCAACAAGGGGCAGAGCAGGTTCAGTGCGACGCGGCCGAGGAGGAGTCACGGACTTAGAGACAGTAACACCAGCTCTCCAATGGCCTGAGGATCCATCAGCTGTGCTTGTGGGGACAGTCTCTTCGCGTCCCTTCTTGGAAAATGGCTATCCATGAAACGAGACTAGATCAGTGATTCTTAACCTGAAGACTCCTTAAGAATCTCATGAATGGGATAGGCCTTTCTTCTAATGAAGTGAAGTGAAGTCGCTCAGTTGTGTCTGACTCTTTGTGACCCCGTGGACTGTAGCCCACCAGGCTCTTCCGTCCAAGGTGTTCTCCAGGCAAGAGTACTGGAGTGAGTTGCCATCTTCTTCTAGAGAGGAGTATAAACTTGGTGTTTAGGCAGTTCCCCTCATTAACATGATGATGCACTCTGAAGTCTATCGGTGAACTCCAAACTAAGAACCAACTGGACTAGATGCTAGATCTGTGATCCCACCTGTTCTGCAGACAGTGTCATGTGGAATGACCACAGACGTCTGAGTGGGGCAGGCCCTTGGCACATGACGTCTCCCACATCTGTAGGTGAGGATCTGAAACCCAGAGACTGACTTGCTGACCTCAAGTCTCACGCAGAGCTTAACACGAGAACCGAGGCCACGGGTAACCTTTCCTCACTTCGCAGTGTTGTACGTGACAGCAATGTTCAGTTTAATTTGAATTAATACTTTACTTAAAATATTTCTCCTCAATGTCACGTGGCAGCCTGAACGGGTGGGGAGTGTGCAGGGGAATAGACAGTGGTCTATGTGTGGCTGAGTCCCTTTGCCGTTCACCTGAAACTGCTGCTGCTGCTGCTGCTGCTAAGTCGCTTCAGTCGTGTCCATCTCTGTGCGACCCCATGGACAGCAGCGCACCAGGCTCCTCTGTCCATGGGAGTCTCCAGGCAACAACACTGGAGTGGGTTGCCGTATCCTTCTCTGAAACTATCACACTATTGTTAATTGGCTATACCCCAATACAAAATAAAATGCTTAAAAAAAAAAATATTTTGAGAAAAAAACTCAGATGAATATATAACAGAAAAATAAACTAGAAAGATGGCATTCTAACGTTTTGGTGGAGGCCTCTTGGTGGTTTCAAACCCCTTTGGGATAGTTTTTAACACATTTTTGTTTTTCTTTTTTAGGAGAAAGAGGCTTCTGTGTTAAGGAAACAAGAGTTGTGACAGTGTACTCTGCAGATGAAGATTGTAGCATAAAAACCGTACAGGTTTTCTATTTTGCTTCCCTGCTGCATTTTCTCTCCCTGTCCACCAGCAATTCTGATAGAAGAAAAAACTTAAACCAGGTAGAATAGACACATATTGCTTACTGTCACTGAGACATGTGTTTAGCAGAAGCTAACTACAAAGGCTAGGAGGTGCAGTTGGGAAAAAAATTTGCCCACGAGTCGCAAGATGAGTTGCTAAGGATCAGGCTGACCAACCCCTCTCTCACCCTCATGACTGAGTATGGGCCAAGTTCCGGCCCCAGCCTGAGAGAGCAAGAAAATATATGATGTTTGGAGTCTGTACTAGTCTCTTCCCCAACACACCTTTCTCTTAATGTTCAGGAAGAAGATCCCGCTTTTTGACTGGTCACACTCCTGACCAGTTAAAACATCCCAGTTCTCGGGCCCCTTTCTAGTTGGAGCCAGGTGTAGCCGTGGGACACAGTGCTGGCTGAGGAGACAGAAGCCGGGGTACACGGGAGTGCTCAGAAAATCCTTCTGAGTGAGGTCATGTTTATCTCTTCCTCCAGCGTTGCTGCTTGGTATATTAACATGATGGATGGAGCCCCAGAAGCCATCTTGTTTCAGAAAGATGAGGTCCATACTCTAGGCAGTGGAAGGCGCCTGAATTCCTAACAACTGTGCAGACCCTACCAGCTCTGAACTGCCTAACTCCAGACTTCATAACACAATAGCAAGAACAGAACCTCTGCTGTATAGAGCACTATTATGTGGAGATATTCTTGCAAATGAAGTGGGTTAATTTACAAAGAATCAGATAAACTTGGGTTCACATCTCATTTGTTACTTGTTGAATTGTCTTTGAACAGCTGATTTCATCAGTTTGTGATGGGGCTGTCAAACAGGCAGAGAAGGTGCCATCCATAAAATGACCTGCACAGCATGTGAAGCCCAGTGACCAGCAGTGTCTGGAACCAAGTAAGCATGCAACGAACATGCACGTCCTCTTTCCCTGCCACCTTCTAAGTCGCCAAGTTTCAAGTCAACAACCTTCTCAGACTAAGCTTCACTGTAGGTGGTGAGAGGTACATTCAGACAAGGAAGTAACACAGTCCTATCTTGGAGGCACACTTCCCCATGGTTAACAGCACAGGAACGAGAGGCCGCAGCTGGTCTGTGGATGCTGATGAAATCCCAAGGCTTAAAGAGCTGACTCTCAAACCTTTAATTCTCTGTGAAATTTTAACCCAAGGCGTTTCAGCAGTACTGCAATGGGATCATGACACTGCCTTATACAATTTTGGGTCTAGCACGTGAAGGATATAAATCCACACATACTTCATATTTCTGGAGATAAAAGATTCTGATTCCCTAAGCTGTTTTGAGCCCAGCTTCACATTCATTTTACAGTGTGTATCCAAATGAAAGTAAACCACCTGGAAATCTGGCTTCAAGACAACTGTCAAAATGGTTGCTATTTTTGGATGAAACATTGTTTGATTAACACTTCACAGTTCAGCTGGAGGTAAAGAAAAGCTTGCATAGCCTCTGACAGATAAGGTGTAAGCAGCCGGGGGCTGAGCGGGGGGCCCGCAGCGCCTTGGTGACAGCCTCTCCCAGTGCTGCTCCTGGGGTCTGTGGATAGATGTGCTTCCTGCTAGCCATCAGCCAGGAGACCAAGGGCTTTCCACTTCCTAAGACGCCCTTTTAAGCCAGCAACACAACGACTCTAATGAGCCCCCAGGAGCCTCGCTGTGTATTTATGGTTATACGGTGTTTCTTCATCTTGCTACTACTGGCAATAAAAACAACGGAACACATGCTGGCTCTTTCCTGATCACTTGGCACCCTCCTATGCATTACCC